TGATGTGGCAATCCAAGCCAAATAAATGAGCCAAAGTGTCTGCATGGTATTAGTCAGTTCAAACAGACCAATCAAATCACAGAGTCACACCACTCAGAAGACACCAGAATTAAGAACAAGAAACAAGCAGAAAGCTCGTGGATTCAAAGGCTGCAGATTTCTCTACAAGCTACAAGTTCAAGCACTTAAGCTATAAGTTCAAGTTCAATATCAAGAACGAAGGCAAATCAAATACCAGGGCATTCAAGATCAAATTACTTGTTCGTGATCAACCCAAATTCAAGTTTAAGGAGATTCAAGATCAAGCTTTACAAGCCCTTGAATCAAATTAAAATCAAGTTCATCAAGATACTTTATATTCTTGAAGAATCAAAGGAATACCATAGAGATTGTAACACTTTTATTTATTAAAATCAAATACTATATTTGTTAATTTTCCAGTCTTAATTATTTATTTTTTTCAACGTGAAAATTTATTGTTACAGTCGTAATTTAGGGTAACGATTATATAAATGGCTTCTGTCCATCACTTTTAACTTTGATATTTGCCATATTCCGTCAACTTTTCTCCGTTACATTTTTTGATTAAGCAAATGATAAATATTGAATAATGCTTATATAATTTTGGTTACTTTGTCAGAATTCAGAAACATATTAGCTGTGTCAATTTGGTTAATTTATTAAAAAGATTAAAAATTCGAGCTTTTGTATTTCTTGTTCACCCTAACTAGTGTTAGAACCCGCGTGATGCACAAATAATTTAATAAAATATTAATTTTATAAAATTATGATCTAATATATCATATTATTTTAATAATATTAATTACTATTTTATTATGTAATGTAGTGTACATAAATATAATAAAATTTATACAAAATTAATGGATACAAAGCATTATAATAATCATATAAATTGTTTATTCCTTATTTTTTCTTTATTAAATTAGCAAGTACTATTATACATTTACTAATGTAATGTTTTATTAATTTTTCAATTGGCTTAATACTTTGATATTATTTCTCTTATAGTAGCACATACATATATATTTTCTTATTCTGAAAAAATATAGATTTTTACACTTATGTTATATTGTTTAAAATTCTTCAATTGTCTAAATTTATTAATAAGTGTTATTTATTTATATTTTATTTATTAAGTAATTCAAAATATAAATATTATAAAATTATCTTTATCCACTTCTTTTTGTACATTCATTTCTACTATAATATTTGATTAGTTTTCTTATTATACATTTATTGAAAATTTAAATAAAAATAATATTTTTAACTAAATTATAATTTTTAATTCATCACAAGTATAACGAGATAAGCCTTTTATTATTTTATAAAAAATATACTAATATTTTTAATAATTAATAAATTGTATTTTATCTATAATATATTATCTTATGTATAATATCCTAATAGTTGCTTTTATATTTTTTGTATTTGTCATTATGAAATTATGAGTTCTATTTATTAACATATTTTCCTACATGAGAAATTTAATTACTATATGTATTTTTACAGTATTATTTGATATTTATTTATTTAGTATTCTTCATTTTTGACTATTTATTTATTATAATTTTTGTTATGTGTATATGTTCGACTTTTCTCATAATTTTGTTTCTTGGTTATCTAATTGTATTATCCATTACTTAATGTTGTTAAATTGACATATGAATTACTAATAAATTACCAACTACTATTAGTACTATTAGGAAGAAATTACTCTCCACTTTGAATTGGTAGTTTTTGATTTTTTGTTTTTTTTTTGTTTTTTTTGTAAAATATTTTTATTGTAATTTTAAATCCAATTTGAACGAGTAGAATTTTTTTTTTGTATTTTTGTTTTTTATTGATAATTATAAGATATCTACATTTTTAGTTCAAGTAGTGTAACCAATTAATTCAAAATTCAAAATTCAAAAAAATTATTTAAAAAGTAATTTATTTTGTCTTAACAATGCCACTTGGCTTTTTGCGGTTAAGACACTTATCTTAATGTAGTGCTTTTGCTTTTTCTATTCTATATAGATAGAAGATGCTTTTTTGTTCACTACCTATTGAGGGGCGATTCAACAACAGTGGAAGCCTAAAGCCAAAATGGAGTTTGAGCCCTATGAATGATATTCTGTTAAAGTGCGAGTTCCTTTTTGCTAGGCCTTACGTGGTACAAATTTAAATTAATCGAGACCTCAATGAAAATATCAAATACGAGTAGAAAACAAACAAAAAGATTAGGCCCAAAATTTTGGGACCTAACGCCATTACTTTAATTGTTTTACCCTTTAGCCACCCCTGCACTTATTTTTCATTTGAATTCACTTTTGGAATTTTCCTAGTTCATTTGCAAATTATTTTTACTAAATAATCTCTTGAAGTAACTCTTGGCAACAAAACAGCTATTTTTACCGTGCCTCAAACAATTTCCAATTATAAATCATCAAAATTCTTATTCTCCATTTACATATCCTACTATTTCTTTACCTGCACTAGTTCTTTCTTCACGATTTGTCCAATTTTTTAATTTTTTTAATTTTTTAATTTTTATGTTGGATAACATGTATTCATATCATAACTTTGTTTTTTAAAACATTTCAAATTATAAACAAGGTGGTTAAACTAGAGGATTTCTTCTCATCTATCTAAATATTTGTGACATAATTACTCGGTACATGTGTTGGTCGAGATAGCAAATACCATAAGTGGACCCCTGGATTTGAAGGTGGCGGGAGCACATGAGCCGACTGCTCGACCAGTGTCCTATCAGACTTTTGATCTTAAGGGATCTATGCGAAATATATGACCATTCCCAACATATATACACATAAATATCAAGAATCTTTGGGAGGTTAATGAACTCCGATGAGCCCTCTTCTATATACATAGGTCCGCCTATGGTAGATACCCGGTGAATAATAGGGGAGTGGACAAGTTGATCCGAACATCACCATCATACAAAATGCACATACTAGCACACTACCCCTACGTAAACACGAGATACTTCGTGCACCGTGCTATCCCTTTTTCTTTTACTAGCACACTACATAGAAATTTCATGACAGATGAAAGAAGAAAGCCATGCCAAGATTTTATCAAACAACTAATACATTGTTTGTAGCTTTCAGACGGCCAATTGTAACAAGAGGACCAAGGATTGATGCATCACATCATTCTTGGAGCAAAATCATGTACACAACTTATGGAAATTCTTGTTTCAGGTTGGAGACAACATAAGGACTAGTCCAAGATATTGAGATCAAGGATTTCTAAGTGCAGCCAATCGCTTCTCCAGTTCATCAATCCCCGAACTGCCAGTACGAAGACATTAGAACAAACTTATGTGAGAGATTTAACGAGATTACAGCGAGTAAGCTCATCGCAGAACATGAAAAATGCACTTCTTATTAATACGATTATTTACAGGAAGAGAAGAAAAATGAAGAACCGAAAAAAGCACGTACTTTGATCTGTCAGCGAGCAGTGCATTCAAAATGTCTAATAATTTGCTTGAGGATACTGTAGTACTTGAAACGAATTAAACTATTTCCAGAGATGAAGCCAGATTATGGATTCGAGATTCTAAATCTTTTAAGTTACTAGGTTACAAATTAATAATTTGTACATGTTCTTTGAATTTCTTAAGACAAATACATGGCTTATACCAAAGTTACTGGATTTGACTGAACCCATAGCTTCTACTCTCCCTCTGCCCTTGACTATTTAATATAAGAAAAGTTTTCTTATGAGTGAAGAAACAAAGTGCGCTTAGCTTTCATAATTGAGTTTTTACCAAGTGAAGACTAGAATAGCTTTAACTAGGCTCGCGATATAGAAGGTAACATGGCCAAGGCAATTTCTAGTTGAAGGACACATGTTAGTGAAACCTGGCTGTCTAGGTTCCTTTTTTTGTTTTTGTTTGAATAACCGAGAAATATGCCGTTTCTAGCTTTAAAACTCGGTCGATAATGAGCCCCTTCCCTCGATCTTTCTCCATGTAAATACCAAACTTAGTTCACCAGTCGAATTCGAACTCATTGAGTGAAGGAAAAGGGCAACAAAGTAACACGAAAACCATATCAAAAGAAAATGAGAATGAACCTGCTTGATTCCTCAATCCTTTTTCCAATAACTTTCCCCTTGGGAGCCGTTGACAGCTGTCAAGATTAAAACATGGGATTGTCAATTTAACGTGGTAGTTGCCGACTTCAAACTACTTTCCTTCTTCTAAGTAAGAATACTAGTTGTTTCACTAGGAAACACAACTAAAAACTAACCTGTGAGGCAACATCGACTCCAATTTCATCAAGGACCTGCAAAAATAAGAACCAAATTAACTTGCAAGAAAACGATACATAGTTGTGACCATGTGTTATAGATATTAACATGTACATTTAAATGCACTTCAATAGTTGTTTGATTCCTAAAAATAAAATTCTACATTCAATCTTAGTTCCATTAGCAAAAGAGTCCGGGCTAACACATTTTATTAAGAAAACCAGAATGCTATCTGAACAGTCAAAACTTTATATGATATTATCAATTAAATCAACTACTAAGCTAATCATAAAGTAAACACACCCGCTAACTTTTTCCAGTCATAAATCATAATTGAAAGGGGCTTTTAAGAGCATACCTGGTTTGTCAAATCTTCAGTTTCCTCTTCCGCTTCATCATTATCTATAGCATCATCTATGGCGTCTGACATCATTTCAGTCTACAAACACAAACACCAACTATTAAGGTGACTTGTAACAATAAGAGTTGACATGAAGGAAATATGATTTTATTTGAAGATTTAACAGATAGTGTGCGATCAATCAGTCTTACCGTCATATCCAATTGAGCTGATTGCCTCTGGAAATCTTGCATCACCTTCGCTTGCTTCGTGGGGTCCATTTGCTGCATAAAATCAACTGATAATTATGAGAACGAATCAAGAAGATGACTTCACATATGAAGAAATTGATGAGCAATATACGAAAATAAACCAAATAACGGAGGCGATGGAAGAGGAGGAGCAAAATTGACACAAAAAAAGAGGTGTAAAGAAACACGAGATAATCAAACTGCTAGATCCAATATCAACCACATCTTTAATTTATCTGCAAGGAGCCAAGAGGTTTCAAGAGAATGAGAAGTTAATTAACATTCCACCAACCAGTGAAGAGTGCAGACGCCCTCTCATCATGAAATTCATTTCCATGTGTATGAAGATGAGTCATTTTTATAAGGGGCTAATTACATTCTTGGGCTGCCCAACCAAATAATAGCCGGCAAATGTATATGTTTTATATATTAAATATAAATATACATATCATACATAATCAGTGTGTATATTATGTATATTTGGGCTACAACAACAACAACAACAACAACTACCCAGTATAGTCCCACAAAGTGGGGTCTGGGGAGGGTA